CATACTGTATTTGATATTCCCTCTTCCAGCAGTTGGAAGAAGCAGCACGATAGTTCAATAAAATTCTTGTTGTTCCTAATCGATCACTAACTATTCTCTTGTAGGTTTGGGTACCTTCCGAAGGACCAACCGTCCACCCTCTATGCCGACTGGAACTAATCCGACCCTACCAAACGTCGCTCCCCTGTCTTCCATGCCGCTTTCTGGCATGTATTTTCATAGCAACCTGAACGATTGGCAGAAGTCCTTTGGGAACGCCCTGTCCAATCAGATGGCACCTTACATAGCTGGCGGATTTCGATATGACAGGCGACAAAGTCCAAATGCAGGTATTTTTGTCTCTTTGTAGAATATTTGATTTTTATATGGCAAGTTATCTAATTTTTGATAACCAGAATATTTTAGCAAAAGCATTGGCTCTCTTTCAATAAAAAAGAGATAACTTTTAATGTAATAGCTATTTCAAACTTAATTAAAACTACATTGTATATCTAAATGAATTAAAGATATCTTTAAACATATATCTCTTAAAATTGTATGAGATAACTATTCTTTTTTAAATATCTTGTAACTTAATAGACATGACTCAATCAAATAAATGAGATGTCTTTTTTAAGCTTAAAGATTCATTATCTTTCTTAGGATTTAAGAGCAATTTTGTTTACTATTATGGAAATGCGTACTTTGATTTAATAGTATTGAGTATTGGTCAACACATGCCGTACTGTCATATGTCAGTCAAAATCACAAATCTTCGTGTTGAATTATCAATATAATAAACAACGTCGATATTTTCAACAATGGGTTATAATGGGAGTTTTAACCTATTTATTACATTGTTATACGCTTCTTAATTTTTATGATCACCATGTACTTTTATTACCGATTGAATTATTAAACAATAGATACGCATACAAACAATGCTAGTGACTACAAACGGAAACGCCCTTAACCTTTTGTAACCTGATTCGCAAATGCTCGATGACTGAAAGAAGAATTAACATGCTATTCTCCAGTCAATTAACAAAGCGTAATTACTTAAACATTTCTTGGCGATTTTGTACTTGTACATTATGAAGTAGTACTTTAACTGGCGCCATATATCTAAACACAATACTGCATGCATAATGGTGTCATTTCAACCAGTATATGATTTTATAAGTAAGGCAAAATTACTGCAAGTGGAACTTCAATGTTTATGTCCTTTTTACGTTTTGTAATTCAGGAAACTCTCTAGCATGTGACGCTTATCAGTACAACATGGCCGCCAACAATGGTGAGATGAGAGCGTCAAGTCTCGCCCAGCTCAGACTCCGCGCCAAGGAACACTCTCACGCCATTTCCATGACACAGTGAACACCTCCGTTTCCCTGTTAATTTAAATTCAAACAAGACTTATCTGATTTATTTTACCTGTGACATACCAGGTGCCGGATATCCTTTTCCAGCAGCTACGTATATAATACATAACAATAACATGTATCTCCTTTCAAATGGAGTTTAACACATAATACATATAAATATATAGAATAAAATAATAAATATGTAAGATCTACCGCTAGGCCTTTCTGCCACATGGATTGTGGTCGGGTTAACATTATAAAACCTAACATATATTTCAATACAATGTATTTGTAAATATAATGCACTTGTTGTAAACATTTATTTCCGTTTGTTGATATATATATATATAACTAGTATGATTCTATTTTATGATGATTAGCCAAAATATCATGAAGTCTTAATGATGTACATATGTAATAAGTGAAATTTTGAGTTTAGATTGAAATAATGACAATATACAGTTTGTAACACCATAGAAATATCTAGTTCTTGGGATCATTTATATGACAACAGAAAACGTAAGTAGTATGTCATTTTGTAAATAGTTTTTAAGACCACTGTGGTGCACACATTAAATTAAGGAAAAAAAAAATTCTTGATCATTATTATTCTCTTCTATTATACTTATTCTTGTCGCCATAAAAATTCTTCATAATTAGTGATATAATAAATGAATATGGAAAAGTAAAATCATTTTGTTATCGTCCAGTAGTGAATTGCAAGCTATGTGATTGTTCACTGCAAAAGTACTATAGAAACATAATATACTGTAGCGTTTATACACAAGAACAATATCCAACCTCGGTGACAAGCGCGAGATGAAAGTTTAATTTAATATATTAACGTAATGGTCTTTAAAGGTTTAATTTGAAAAAAGTGTTTTCCCCATTAATGTTAAGGTATATATGAAACATGCATGCTTATATTACTTACGAACAGCAACATAACACGCAAAATGCTTAAATTTTACTTACGTTCGTTTGTTACCGTTTTACCATTGAAACTAGTCAAACTCTATTAACCATTTACTGGCTACCGTGAAGCCTTGCTTGATATTGCATACATTCTAGATATTGCTCATCATTATTTGTATCTAAAAGGTGCGATTTGGAGCACCGTTGTATCATTATTGACACCGCCAACATACACGACCATCTATATCGTATTAGTCGTCGATAAGCGGCACTTACCGGTAGTATGATAAATTCATTATCATTGGTTGTCAGTATGAGAAGAAGTTGACAACGACTTGAGAACAACATGAGAAGAAACTCGAGACCGGATTTTCCCATTCCCCAGCATATGGAAACGTATTGTTTTCTCATCTTGACGATTTTGTTCATTGTTATTTACATAATGATCTATTGATGAACTAACAACAGACCTAAAAATATATGTTATTCAGATTGTTTTGCACTTGCGCTTATGTCAGTTAAGGGTGTTTTGCATTGCTTCACACAAGAATCCTCAAAACGTGAATATCTATAAACGTTTGTTTTTTTATTTACTAAATTTCTCAATTATATTTACTGAGAGCAGTTACGCTAAAATGCCATGTATTTGCAGGGGTAGTCGCTATTGTTTTGTATTGTCAAAATAAGCAATTTATATTTGCTGACATTTATTTCAGGGGGTATTTTACCTTTCCACTGTGGTTGCATCGTGATGTAATCTCTTTATGTCAATTAAGAACAAGAAGTAATCCAAAAGAGCATTATCATAACATTGTAATTAATCATCGAATGATAATTAAGAACAAATTTACATATTGATGTTACAAGTTCGTGGAAATAAAATATTGCTGGTGCTTTTCACTTTTGTTCTTTTTGTAAAGTATAACAATCCGTTTAATCAGAGGTTGGTTAGATATTGCACGTTGAAAGTTTGCTGACAATTGAATGTCCATTCATGCTGGTCCAATTGAATGGCCTTCCATACAATTCTGACCAACGAGGTTGTTGCAAATCCAATTAAACATTATACTTTCAAACATGTAAACAACGTAACATATATAGGACCACTTACACATACATGTACCAGCGCTGATAGTATGATTAATGGGCCAGCTCACCTTTCTGATTTCAGCAGTGTTCACCTAAACGTGAAGACCAGAAACACAATGAAATCCTCAAGTAACAATAATCGACAATAAATGAACATACCTACAAGGTACAATAGCTATGTTTCCCATTTACAACTTTAGATTCATTTCATATTTATTCTTTCATTCGCCTCCTCTCCTCTTAGATCATTAGTGACATGAACGTTTTGCTCCTTAACGTCAAAATCTTGTAACACGGGTTGCGATTTATCTGTCTGTATCACACAAAACAATCTTTACTTTTTTTGTGGAAACAAGGGGCCCAATGAGCCTGCATCGCTCACCTGGTATTAATCTCACAATTGTAATTTTAAAAGTGGACTAAAATACAGCTACAGGCAGAATATCAGTGTTTGATTCATAAGAACCTATTAAAAGATTTAAACATATGACGCCGTGACCTTGAATGTCGAACAAGGACATTAGGTTGAACAGAGTTTATAGTATTCCAACCCAGCATGCTTCTGGAAAAATATCATTACCCTGGACCTTTTGGTTATACAGAACAAATCATTTAAAGATTTAAACATATATTGACCACTGTGACCTTGAATATGGGTGAAGGTCATTCACTTGGTAGTCCTTCATCCCAGCATGTTAATGGCCAAATATCATCACTCTTGGCCTTTTGCTTATTAAGAAGAAGTCATTCAATGGTTTTAAACATATTTGACCCCTGTGACCTTGAATATATATGTCAAGGTCATTCATTTGAACAAATTTGGTAGTCCTTCATCCCAGCATGTTACTGGCATTATACTAGGCCTCTTGGTTATTCAGAAGAAGTTGTTTAACGGTTAAGAACATATTTGACCCATGTGACCTTGAAAAAAGATGAAGGTCATTCATTTTAACAAACTTTGTAGCTCTTCATACCAGCATGCTACTAGCCAAATATCATCACCCTAGGCCTATTGGTTGTTCAGAAGAAGTTTTTTAAATGTTTTAAACATATTTGCCCTTTATAACCTTTAATATAAGTCAAGGTCATTTTTTTGAACAAACTTGGTAGCCCTTCATCCCAGCATGTTACTGGCCAAATATTATCATCCTATGTCTCTTGGTTATTGAGAAGTTGCTGAAAGGTTTTAAACATATTTGACCCCTGTGACCTTGAATATAAGGCAAGGTCATTTATTTGAACAAACTTGGTAGCCCTTCATCCCAGCATGTTACTGGCCAAATATCATCATCCAAGGTCTCTTGGTTATTCAGAAGAAGTTGATTAAAGATTTTTGTATATTTGACCCCTGTGACCTTGAAAATTGATGAAGGTCATTTATTTGAACAAACTTGGTAGCCCTTCATCCAAGCATGCTTCTGGTCAAATATCATCACCCTAGGCCTTTTGATTACCGAGAAGAAGTTGTTTAAAAGTAAAAAGTTGACGCCGGACGGACTATGGACGGACGACGGAAGCCGCACCATGCCAGAAGCTCACTTGGCCCTTGGGCGATGAAGCTATCCTGGTCACACTGCAAAAAGTGATGACTTGATAGTAACGTTTACGGAGTTACAGCTAAATACATATAACGAACAAACATTTTCTCAAAAACAAGATTTTACCTTTGACGGTTTAATCCCACACTCCACAGTCGTATTACAATGTTAGTTAAGGATTTGACAAATTTTGTTTACCTACAAATGAGAAAGTGACCTCACAAGTGCAAAAAGTCTTAAGTGGAAAATAACCAACCTTCTAAAATAAATACCGTTCCTGTTTAATAGCTTCCCGTTACATTGCAATAGGGTACACTTTCTGTAGTCATTATCATATTGACTGTCTGTAATGATACACAAGCTGGAGAACAGCATACCTCACCTAGTGGTGATATATGTTGTAAGAAAGCAAATATTAATAGAAACACATGTACAGTAAAACCTTGATATAATACCAGTCATTGCATTTGCCACCTCGCTTACCGCAAAATTATTTTCAGATCCCTTAATTATGTTTTCTTGAGAATTCCTCAATACCTTTCCCTCAATTTATTGCCAAACCCCTTTATAATGCCAATATTTTTTTTAAACAATTGATGGCAATATAACCAGGTTTTAGGGTACCCTAACATGTTGTACATTTCAAAAGAAGAGATGACCAGACAACGTGAAATAGTCAACAGCGTATTGATGGTGGTGACCAATCCAACACGGCACATGCAAACTTGTCCAAAAAGTTTAACAAAGTCCAATTAAGCTGTTTTTGGCCAATACAATATGAAAATATGGTTTAGCACATTGCTTACACTCCATATAAAAACAAAATTGATCGTTGACTTAGAAGAACTTTAATGAAGCTTGAAACAAATTATAAAAACGCGTTAACGTTGTCCCAGATTTAACATAATTTGAAAAACAAAATTGGATTGTGCTATTTTTTAAAAAGCATTGCAACAGGGCAAGGCCACAACTTTCACTATTTATCACCTGTGATCTTAGCTGTCCCTAGCTGTAAGACATACAAACTTCAATAGTAACTATACACTAGTACGTACTATAAGACTTTTTCATGCCCAGGGGTAAAGCATAGGGAAATTCCAACCTAAAGGCTTCCAAATTTGGTAAAAAAAAACACAGGCTTGCCGATGTTTTTGCATCAATCTTAAAATTTTAATAGTGGCATTTCTCTATCCTGCAGTTATAAAAAAGAGTATTTAGCTCTCGTTCCAATCACAAGAATTAGCTCAGAAACCTTGAAAAGACTTCACAATTTCCACATCCAAGTTTTGCAATGTTCCTAATTTGTGACGTCACATCAGTGTAATCCCATTGCAATGTCATGCACATGAAAAAGGGTGTTAGATAACAATTTCTACACTTCCTTTCTTACACTAGACTTGGAGAGGTCCGTCATACGTGTTCAAAAATGAGAGAAACAGTTTACTTCACAGCTAAACAGGGCAAGATTCCTAATTACTGACAATCTTCTGTAGCCGTAAATAAACAATAATCAATGGTGCCAAGTGTATTTTTATTATGTAGATTGGATCTCATAATATGAACAGGCAGATTAAACTCCCTGAAAACATTATATACCTGGGTAAGAATTTTTATAAATACAATACTTCATCAGCCTTACAGGCGAACACAATTAGTGCAAATACAACATTATGCACAGATGGTACTCAAATAATATCAACATATCACAAGCAATTAAAGCAATAAGTACATTATGTAATAAATAGTTATCTTAAGATGTGGGACAAATTAAGGATATTTATGCTAGTAATGAAATACTTAAGAAATCTTATCTTGTCTTTAATGCATCAAAATTCCATATGGTACATTTGGATGTGATGGACCCCAGTCCCACAGCACCTGTAACACTTGAGAATCGAATCCCACTGTAGTTATTAAGTACATGCAGTAACCTACCCTTCATTTTGTTTTGGATAATGAGAGGAGGTCTGATTTAGCCCATTTCATTTTACAACTCAGGACACTGCTGTTGATTTTTTACGTCACTATTTTTTTATAATTTCATCTGCATTATTTTTTATAATTTCATCTGTATTATTTTTTATAATTTCATCTGTATTATTTTTTATATGGCAGTGGTACAGTAAATATGAAAGAAATCATACAGTAGATAACTTTTCATGCTGTTTTTTTCCCTGTAGTTTATAATATATTCATCAATGCACATGCATATTTCTGAGATATATCAACAAAATTGACTCTTTATTGCTCATATGAATGATAAACAAAATTTAATGTCTCTGAGGCAATTAACACTTTTTTTGGATTGAATGCTTCTTTTCCATTTCCATTATGTGTAGGATACTAGGGTCGTCGAACTACATGTAGCTGGATCTTAGTAACCATGCAATTACTAATAAGTTACTGTAAATAAGGAATCTATTTACACTTTAGTAACCATGCAGTTACTAATAAGTTACTGTAAATAAGGAATCTATTTACACTACATGCATGTATACATTGATAGGTCAAAGTCTCTGCATCAGAACACCAAAATAAAATCGTTTCTACCGAAAGTCACAAAAGTAACGTTCTTTCTGACAAACTTAACAAGGATTTCTTCCCCATGAAAAATTTGAAAGGTTAACTAGATGGATACACAGGTATGTCCTACTTATATGTGCCCTGCTCAGATAATACTGGTGATAAATTGAGAGGCAGTGGGTTGGTGAGATAAATTGTAGCCATGGCTGTCTCATTGCTATTCAAATTGTTCTGGTCATACTCCTCCAGAACTTGACCCCCCGTGATGATGTCCTGGACGCTCAGTTCCTGTGCCTGACCATCCAATGCCTGGCTGTCTAAGGCTTGTTCATCTAGTGTCTCAAATGTAGCGATCTGTGCCTCAATTTGAGGTAATGACTCCTGTTCTTGGTCCTCGGGAATCTGTATGGTCGGATCATGGGTCTGCATATGTCTCAATAACGTGTATTTAGTGTGGAACGTTTTCTCACACTCTGAACACTGGAAGGTATGAGTGATCTGAATCTGTTGGAGTGAGACCTGATCCTCCGTGTGTATCTGATTAGGCAGTGCAGTGTCATGTGTTCGGGTGTGGCGCAGAAGGGCGTACTTCGTGTTGAAGCTCTTGTTGCAATCTCTACACTGGAAGGAACGTGGATTCAAATGAATGGACTTCATGTGTTTCTGTTGACATGACTTACGCTTGAAGCCAACACCACAAATGTCACATAAATACATCCTCAAACTGGAGTGCATGGCCATGTGTTCTGACAGATGAGCCTACAACAAGCACATACGCAAACATATCAATTTACATATTTAACAACAATGCTACCTGCAGAAAGTGATTTGCAATCCAACCCTTTTAAGGACTCATGATCATTTACGTTTTACATTTTAAAGAAACAGAGGTGACTTCCTGAGAGTACTGTACCTTTCAAACTGTCTTTTGGTTTTTTTACTTTACAGAAAGATTTGATACATTACCCATTTTTATTTATTGAAGTATGAAGACCAGCCTCAATGCTTAGCATATTGTCACGAACCATTTGCAGTAAAACACTTGTTATTACACTGCAATTAACTTCAGCAAACACGAGATTGTTTTTAAGAACATTACAAGTCTCTTATCTCTTTTTGAAACAGTAGGACCTGTTCGTTTATGCGGAACAACTGGTTTTGTTCGCTTTTAAATATAACAATTTTAAGTATAAATCCTGGCGGACCTGCCAATGTTTATGCAGGCCTTGCAAGGCTTTGTCAAGGCTCGCCTGAAAGCAGCATCAGATTACTACGTCCCACCTTATTTTATAAACAAACAACTGTAGTCCGACTGGTTCAACGATTTAAACGAAAACAGTCTAGGTGTCTTTTTAAAATTCTAAATTACCTGAAGACTGTTGGTCTGTTCAAAAAGATGTAACAAACCAAATCCACTGTTTCTTTTCAAGATGACATTTGTTTTACTTTTTCATTTGTTTCCTTTGGCAAAACATCATTTATTTACCTTTTTTGGGCCCTAATGACCTCTCCTGTATTGATGGGCCTTTAATAATATACAACTTACTACCTGGTAACTAACATTAAAACCTTATTTTGACAATCTGTCCTTCAACACGGGATGTTCAACACTCTTGACCTCACAGTCGAGATGGGCTGGATATTTAACTTAAAAGTTAAAACATTACCAAATTACAACTATCAATAGTTTTATATTCAAAATTGTAGATCACACATTCTCAGATTTAATATTGTAAGATACTATGCTGGTATGGCAAATACTGATTATGTGGGACTCATAAGTCACAACACATACCTGTTGATGGTAGCCCTGTTTGTCTTAAAGCTGCTTGGTTCATAAAAATAAGGTTAATTGGTTAAGGTTTTGGTTCTATAACGAATAGTATATGTGTTTTTCTAATGAATAGGAAAGCACTCATTTATTGCGCGGACGTATATATTCACTTGTGTGATCCGCGCACTCGTGAATATATTCGTCTGCGCAATAAACTTGTTCTTTCTGACTCGTTAGAAAAACACAAGTGTGTAGTCTTGCATATATACTTACTACCTATACACAGTTAAATGGATATGTGGATCATGAGATACTGTTTATTTACTCGATTGCGTATATCATCAATGTTTTAACGAATTACGATAAGTGAAAATAATCTCTTATATATATTATTATAAGTTGGCTTTAAAATTCATAAGATAGACATTAAAAACCTTGATACAATGGCCTTCATTTTACTTGCCAACTCAATTCCTGTCAATAAATTTTCAAATTCCCTTTTTCTGTTTTCTTAACAATTAGTTTATAGCTCTTGCTCAATACATCACTAAACCCATTTATAACTCCAAAATCTGAACGTTCAAATGGTGGCAGTATAACAAGGTTTTGCTGTACATATTGTTGGAGGAGGATTGTTGACTCACCCGTGACCTGAAGTCTTTTTCACACTCCTTACACTTGTACTGATACACACGGTACTTCTTGTCAATATGAGTGACCTTATGTGCTGTCAGGGTATCTGCACGCTTGAATGAACAACCACAAAGGTCACAAAGAAAGGGTCGAAGGTCAGAGTGTACATTGTTTCTGTGACGTGCCAAGTGTTCCTTGCGCATGGTTTTGTAGTTACAATCATTACACTGCAGTTCAACAGTGGACGTCTCCTCCACTTTCTGTAACAGCTTAGCGGTCTCCTCAGATATTAGTGTTGTTGCACCGTGACTTTTTAAATGCAGGGCAAATTTTTGTGCCTGAAAAATAAATATTAAACACATCATATCTTAATATAAGGAAACAATATGTTTTACTTAACTATTACAAGTTACATTTCACATTATTATCATCTTATTGAAGGCAGTGAAAAAATATCAAATTGAGATGTGTCATTAATTTATGACACTGACCAAGTTACTATTAAAACAGATAAACTGAATAAGATTTCTCAAAACCCTTAATTTATCATTGTCACATCGGTTGTTTAACATGAATGCACAGATCTCTATAAAGATTACGAAATCCTCACTTTGATGGTTTTGAAGGAACAGTGCTGACAGCGTAGGTACAGTAGGTTTCTGGGATGACGACCTTTGTCGGAGGCTGAAGGCTGGTGTTTGACCTTGATATGCTTGCTGAGGAGGACAGAGCTGGTTGAGCGGTATTTGCAGTGATCGCAGTTGTAGAGAGATTTACTATGACAAACCTCATGGCACTTAAGTGTACTGCTGCGAATGGTCTTAAAATCACACTGTTTACATTCAAACATCTCAGTGTTGCTTGTATGAAGTTTCATATGCTTTGCAAAGTGACTTTCTCGCTTGGACTTAAATGAACAAATCTTGCAAAAATATTTAAAAGGAGCTAAATTTTCATAGTCTTTCCTGGTCTTTTTCTTTGGAATCCTTGTCGTATCTGTAAAAAAAATGTCATGCAATTTCGGAAGGAATGTATTACATTTATGTCATAAACTTTTCATCATTTAATTGACTAATTAAAGACTAGATGATCTTCTATTATCAAACACACAATCTTGTTGGTGACATAAATGTACAAACATGGGCTGGTTCTAATTCCATAATGCAATAATCTTGAGCAAACCAAAGTAGATAACTTGAAACTCTTGCATTGAAGAGCTGGCTATTCCAACCTTATGTAAAGTATAGGGAAACCAGGCCATCCATACAGAGTATATACTTGTAATAACAATACATTATCTGCTTCTAGTATTAATAATCTAAGAGATATATATTTGGGGGTAAAATAGATGAATGAATTATTCAATTATAGTAAAATTATTCATTATAGTAAAAGAATTGTTTAATTTGGTTTCATATATTTAGGTATACAGAAGCAATTTCCAACACTTCAGTATATAACAAAGCTTTATCTAGTCTCCTCCATACCTGTTGCATAATTTCCTATTTATAACTCAGCAAAAAAAATCTGACGCTAACAGCTTTTTTAAAAAGTTGCTACAATACATTGGTAATAGAAAGGTACCTCGCCTGGTTTTTATTTTGATTTCAGATGCAAACATGTGTTTAGTATGGATGCACACAACTAATACATTATACAAACTAAATGAATCAGCCAAACATCCATTCCAAAAATATATTCTAAAAGTCCCACACAATTGTTAGTTGCCCCTAGCGACAAGAGTTCGACCACAGTCTATACATCTAATTGTTGGGAATGATTTAGCTCTCATGGCCAGTCAAGGCTCAAATTTAAATACTGTATACAGGGGAACTTTCGTTTTGTCAAACTTTTGCCCTACGCTGTAAAATCTGTATTCGCCCAGTGTTTATTTTGCCCTTAACATTTGATCGCTATGTTTAATATGTTGTTTACTTATGTTCATTCTTATGATAAATTCACCCTCATTATGGGGGACGAAATTAAGTGGCTGAAGGTTAAACTCAGCGAATTTTTCCTGGTATACACTATCACCTTGCTCGACCCTTGTATGTTGCATTAATTCCTACCAGTGTACTCTGTGTAGTCTGTGCTGTCCTCATTTGAAGCCTCTCTCTGATCTGTTGGCTGTTGGTTTTCACTCCCTGTGTATTCTGCCACATGGCCATGCTTGTCTGCTTCCCCTTGATTTCCACTATACTCTCTATTCCCCTCATCTGGTTGTTGGTTGGCATTACTATCACTGCCAGACAGGAAGTAGTTGACCTTCTCTACTGTAGCCGATTGTGAATTTGTTACAGACTGGGGTGCTTTACTGTCTGAAATTTGTCCATTTTCAGTCTGCAAAACAAGAAAATCATGCTTTCTGATGTAAAAACAACACCCTCAAGAAGTCATATAAATTTACAATACAATTATAGCCATCGTTACAATTTCAGGTCAAACATGAAAATGAGAAATCAATTCAGATTGACATTATGATTCTGTATGTACCATTATATGTTTGAAGAGCTGCAATACCTTCCTCTTTCTGCGTGATCTCTTTGGTCGCTCCTCCTCCTGGCTGTCATCAGCCTCTGCCACAAAACTGTACTGATTAAACCTTGCGGGTTGCCTGATGCCCCGCCCATATGCAGATACAGTGGGGACCAGGATGTCACACATGGCAGAGAAGTCCGAGGCACTGGTGGGTTCAGTCTGTACACATTTGTCACTGGTTGTACACGTCTCTTCGTCTCCACCACCACCATGTTTTCTGCTTCCTATGAACAGACATTATGGTAAACAGTGTGCATAAAAATGTCATTTCTCTTAGAGCCATTCAAAAAATGTATACACAGAGAAAAGAACAGCATTCTCATATTCTACCTGTTGCTTGCGTGACAATCCATTCCTGATCATGTAAATATTTAGGTTTTCATGCATGCTACCATGTACTTATGAAAAACATATCTGAACTTGAGCTTTGATATGTTCATATTTTTTCTAAACATATTGAATTAAGATTTCTCTTAGGTTGTTGATAATCTAATAATACAATATTTATTTCATTTTTTTTATCTGAACAAAATGCTGTTTTCAAAGACAAAATTATATATTCCAATTTATACATGACATTACATATTCAAAAAATGACAATTACCGGTATATTCATTGAACTGCTTTCTGATGGTCTACACATCTGAAAGCAGCTCAGGATTAAAGCTTAAATGAAAATATCTGTAATATGTAACCTTTGAGCAGGTTTAGGAGTTTACACTGTAGGCCTAGGAGCTCTGACAGTTTGCCGGACACACACCAGGCGTTGACTTCTCTGTGCCAGATAAGGCTGTTACGACTCTGGAGGTCATCCAAAAATGTGGACTTTATGCTGAGAATGGCATTGAGAATTGAGTCAGACAGAAAAGCTTGGATGTTTGAAAATATCTGAAATTGAAGGAAATAGAAAATACTTAATGTTGTTGTGTCTAGCATTTTTCACTGATTAAAAAAATAATTTTCATAAAGGAAATTTGCAATCAGAAAACTAGGTCAGTCTGATTATTTTCATACTATATGTGTTTGATAAACAAAAACTGATAACATCACATCATTTCTTAAAATTTTAAGTACAGCATGTAAAATTTCATCAAATATATAAACCCCAATAATACACAATGTCTTCACACTTAACTGATGTAAGTTTGCATAACTGATGACCTTAATAAAATATGAATAGTAAACTAATGAAATATGACTAGTAAACTATAATATAAGACACACATTTTGAAGTGTTCGATTCTATAAATAAGAATATTTGCAAAAGCCGGTCAGGGAAGGCATCATCTCAAAGTCTGACTTTGCAAGGGAATGGGTTGATGAAAGGAATATGCTTATAATTCCTCTTCTGCAGCCGAGCGTGTCTCTCATATACACTGCTCCTTAAATGTGTTTACCTCTTCCGAACTTGTTTTAGGCAACCCTGTGCCACCAGGTTGTTGCAGATGCTCCTTAGGTAAAATGCTGGCCTCCTCGACATTTGTGAATGTTGTCTCGTTGCCAGGTTGATAAGAGTCATCCATCAATTCCAGCATACAGGAGGACGAGGGAAGGCCATCCTGAGTGGAAACAATACTCACTTGCATACCCTCACTAAATACTGAGGACAGATGGCTACTAGGCACAGAGTAGCTGTTACCCTGACTACCGCTCTTGGTCATCACATCTGATAGAGAAATAAAATTCATGCTGATAGAAGCGATGGTGTTAGGTATACAGGTGAAATTCTCTTTGTGATTCAATATTGATTCAAAGATGTCACATGCTGACAAAGGGAGATAACTCTCTATACATGGTATCTTTCTCTTACCTCTACACAAACAAAATACATGTGTCACACAACAGATCTCCACACAAGATAAGCATATCCCATATAGACACACCTAATGACCATCAGTTTTGGAACTACAGTTTTCTGGAAGCTGACTTTGGAAACTTGTGTGAATTCTTTTTAGTAACTTATTGGCCGACATTCTTATAGATGACATCCTTTTCCTGTGATAGGTTATGCCATTAAATTGTCATTTTGATCAGCAAAAGCTGGGTCTCTACCACAAAAACAGTCAGCAACTGACACCATCTCAAAGAAATTTTGAAAAACAAATTTGTTCTTTAAAGCTTTTAAATACTACTTTAATTTTCAAGTACACCATTGATAAACCATATTTTTTCGGTAATTTCCAAATATGTCCCTGTTTAATTTGCTTGTTGTCTGGAAAATCTACTATATCTAAAGACGTATTCATATCAGCAGTGTTGATTTTCACCACATTTATTATTTTATTATGTAGGTAAGTGGGAAATAGGAACTCTTCCCTCAGGTGTTCTGAGAATATCAATACCCCCAAACACCTTAGCTACACGATAGACTGATTAGATTATTAATTATAAATTATAATCAGACTTTCCTATAGTCGTCTACATTGCCACTTTTTGAAGTTCAGTTTTGTTCATCCAGGCACTGTTCCCAGCTAAGAGTGCATGGTTGTATACGGAAATGGCTGCATTATAGGCACAGTTTTGTGTAGGAAAACCCCCAGAATTGTTTCCAAAGACACTGACTGGATACTGTGTATTACAGTGACACAAGAAGTTTTATGGACCTATTAAAATTTCAGATTACCAAATTGTAACACACAATTATTATTTTTTATTTTTTTACAAAATACCCAAACAAATATTAATTTCCAAATTATGTTTGTTTTATAAAATTGCCAACTTCAAAACCTTTCATTTCACTAAGTAGCTTTCTATGGTTTACAGCAATTATGCGTAAAATGTTTTCTTTCACATAGACTCTGGTTATCGGTCTGTCATCCCCTTCAAACTCTGCTGGATAGTGGAACAACTCAACTGAAAGCTGTTGGGTTAGCCAGACATACCATTTATATTGTCCCATCTTAAATACGTAGAAGCAAGTTGACTGCCAATCATTACCTGAGTTTTGTCCCTCTGTGTGCGTGACAGTAACATCACTGGAAGCCAGTCTTGTGATACCAGATGCTGACACTTGTATGTGATTGTCAATGGTGTTGACATTCACTGTGATCGGCTGGCCATTTAGGTCTAGGACAGGGATCGACTGGAAAGTTATTCCTGGCTGGTCCAGTAACCTTATTACATGGTAAATGAATTTCTGCATGTTAATTAAAGATCAAATTGAGATTTATTTGAATATTTGTTTAAATTCAAGTAATTCTGGTGAGTTCTCATTGATGCAATTTCAATGTCCAATTTTCACAACACAATCAAAACAAGAAAAAAAAAATCAAAACTATTTTGAAGGATCTTGTACTGGTCGCACATGGACGAAACACAACATCAGCTTTTCAAAACTCAACTGTTCTTCACAGAAAATGTAAAAAGTATCATGTCTTTGTGTTTTATCTACTATATTACTTTGTTACACCTCAAGTAAATTTCTAGCTATTTGATTGGTTGGGAGAAAATTAAACAAAAATCTCTGTCACCCTCCGAAAATACATTGGTTTTAAGGGGCGCAGGTGATATTGCCATGAGACAGTGAAAAATATCACATGCGCGAAAAATGTGCGTTCATCGCTTCGTTTATCCACCATGATGGTCACAAGAACGTTTGACGGCAACAACCAATTTTATCAAGCGCCGGTGTGATAGTGATTGTTAACAGCAGACTATCAACAAACAAGATGTCATTATCGAGGTTTGCTGACGTTTCTGAGCTACAAAGATTTTGGTGTAACAAAATAGATATGACATTCATTAGCAGATGACAGTGAATATTGTCAACCCTCAAAAACCCATTGTCACCTGCTAATGAATGTCATATTTATATGATATCATACATCTACCATTATACTTGAAACAGCATGTATGTTTGATTAATTAAACTGCATTGGAAAATCAATTTTACTATGAATAAGCTCACATAGAAGGATGACTTTGAATAGCTCCATAAGAATAAGAAAACATAGTAGCATGCATGTTGCTATGTAACAGCCATAATTGATGCTGGTTTATATCCTTATATATCGATTTACAAGAAATGTACATTTACCTAGTCCAGGAAACATTTTCTGTGTCCACTATTGGAAGGGTAACCATGCCAACAGGATTTTTTTCTTGCACCGGGTCAGTAGCATTGGTAGACCTGCAAACAAACCATTGATACTTGGAAACAATAGCTTGCGACAGGTAAAATACATACATTGCACACTTACCTACCAAGTCACCTACACATGCAAAGGTCAACCTACAAATTACCTCCTACTCCAACAAAATTACAGTGTAAATGTTTTAACACTGCAAGATACTTCTGGCGCGGTCGTAGTGAACATAATTAAATATTTATTATGAAAAAATAACCAACCACTGGCCTCTTATGTCATGGGAGTAATGACCTCCACGACATGCATTTATTGTAGCACAGCCATTTTGTAATATTCGGTACATCATAATATTCTGTGACGAACACTATATAGAAAAGTTTCATTATAAAAAAAAAGTTGAACTATATAACAAAAATGAACTTTAGAGAATATGTACATGATATGGGTGGCGATATTTGAGTGATACTTTCACCTTTAAGTTTTATCACAAACAGAATAGCTTTATAAAATTAGGTCAACTGGAAGCTAAAAGACCACTTTGCATGCATAAACAAAAAATTGGAAAATGATCCAGGTAATAATTATTAAAAGATTAAATCACAAGTGCTTAGTTTTACCAAATATCTTGTGACAGCTCATTCATTTGCACTACTTATCCCAGTGATCTTTTTAAAATCATTTTTGAAGCTTTAAATATTAAAATAATTTATAGAAAGGCCATACTAACTTGTATATAAAAGCAGGGAAATAGAGTGGTATCGCAGTCTGTGATTAAAAGGAGGAGAGCTCACCTACTGAAATGCCCTACAATCAGCAGGCTTGACATGCATTTTGACAATTCCTCATTTCATTGATATGGACTTTATATGAGAGTTTTTAAAATGCCCACCGACTTTAAATACAAATTTATCTTATCTTATTAACATGTTTGGAAATGTCATTGCTTTATTTTCATGTTTGCAGGATCATGAGGGTGTTTGTTTGAGAATCCAGGCAGTGTACGTATGTAGCTGTGTGCGTGTTTATTAACTTCAAAATATAGTATATGCAGCAAAAAATGGTTATTCTCATAAAAAATAATCCAATTCAATCTCGTTTCACTTACGACGCCATCCTTTCTCAACGTAGTGAAATAAATTTCTGTGTCGTTTTTTCTCCCTTACTTACTGACGATGGTCAGCCATCTTTACGGTGTCGACGGAATTTATAACCAGATTTATTATTATCCCGGTAAAATGTTGTCATTATGTAGTTGTACAATATAATGTGTAGCTAAAATACAGAATGATTTTCTTATAATATAATGCTTTAATTGAATCGATAATTACAATATTTAATACAGCTATTCGGAATTAAGAAAAAATACAATCAAGTGGATACATTTATATGCCTTTTATTCACTGTACACCGGCGCACCCAGGGCGTTGTACTAAAATCATACATACCGACAGGGAACAAGAGGTCCGTATTCGTTTGACCGATTAAATCAAATTGTCCAATTGTTCATTTAACAATAAAAAAAATGTGTGTGCGGAGCAGGGGAGGGTAAATATTTGATAGAATTACTAATTTTCTATATGTTGCACAAAACTAATACTGAATTAAGACTCAAACTTTCAAAATACAGTGACATACAATATTCATGTATATGTTACATTGTCATCAAACTTTACACAAGTTTAGGAAACAAAATACTTCATTAATCTTTTGACTTTAGTGCTTGATTAAGCAAAGTCTCGTTTTTAAAGTACATAAATTAATAGTAAAAACATATTACTTTTCAGCTGTCTTCAATAAAAAAAAATTAGTATTCAATATTTTGCCTTTGGGTCATATGTCAGATTTCAAATCAGCATCGGAGTAATTTACCTTATTATACCCAGAACAACGCACTGATAATTTCTTTTAAGATTCGGCAAAATTGTTTTTAGTAGAATGTAATAAAAGCTAGTTTAAAATACGACTTCCAAGATGGCGGCATTGGCGGCCATATTTGGATTCGCTTAAAAAAAACAAATCTTAAAATTAAAATAAAAGTTTTTCGAAATAGCGTTATTGTGGCCAACAAAATTTTAAACTAGCCAGATAATGTAGATAACCAAGGTTGTCCGCTATCAAAAGACATGCTCCGATCATTTCCAACAAGATTTTGGAAATTCCGCTCGGTAGAATTGGAGTTTAAAGTTAAAAACAGAATGTTCAAGAAGGCAATCACGGCGGCTGGCAATATCGGGTTTAAAATCAGATCCAAAACAAACACAAAAAAACCCGTTAGAACCATATGCACTACATTGATTTATCATTTGTCATTTGGCAAGTTTTAGCAAAAACAGTTCAATAAGATTTGAGTTCAAAATAGAACCAAGATGTTGCGTCCATAGCAACCATAGTTGATATCCAATTGTCTCCAAGATTAACAATTGGTTTGAACCATATATACATCTGGTGGTGATATTCTTGAATGTCTCACCCTCAGTTTGGGTTTTAAAAATAAAACAAAGAAATTGGATAAAATAAATAAATATACAGCATTTGATATAGCGCCCTATCTAGCTAGCATAAGCCACTCTAAAGCGCTTTACAGTACACATACAATTTAATACAATGAATACAATTAGCATATACATAAATCAATACAATTTTTAGGAATTCGAAGGAGCTGCCTTATCAGGCGCTAACTACTAGTCCTATACCACCTGGCTAATATCTCCCTTTGTGTGTGTGTAGGTAGGACGTTTAACTCAACAAACCAAACCAACATCTACAGTTCCGTAAGCTTCCCTAGATGGCTCGTTGTCCTAACAATCAATATGACTGGGTGAAGTATTATGCATTCGTGGACAATTTATGGCATTTTATTGTAGCATGCGTAGCTATGGAGTTGTCCAAACATTATCGAGTACAGATAGAATTATGTATGTCCTAAATTTATTTTGTGATAAAACAGAGGAATGTTTAATGATGTGCACAGGAATTCCAGACATCTACAATAGGTATGTGACCTGGATATGGGTTATTAAACATATGAGTGACAGGTGATGGTAAATCAATGTTCTACTATACTAATGGCTGAATCCACATATATTTGCCAACGGACGACATGACCATGTAACGTTAGATTACATCACCAAGTAACGTTAGACGTCATTACCAAGGTACGTTACACAAGTATCACAGGGAGACAAACACGAACATATCGCAGCCTCCCAAAATACACACACATACACTACACGCATGCATCTTGCACACAGGGTGGCCGTCCTTAAATGACATTAGCTGTTAATAGGACGTTAAACAAAATTAAACAAACAAATAAACAAACATTTTTGCATTATTGAAAAATGGAAAAAAACGGAGATTTTTTTCTAATACAATACTGTCGGAGACATTCCTGGTGAACGATGACAATTTTCGTAAGTAATCATACCTGAAAATCAGTGACTTTACATATGTGCAAAATATATTGATTTGGCATTCAGTGAAATTGTCGATACTTATGTACATATTGATTAATCAGGTAGTGATTGACATTCTTTCCCTCTGACAATGAAATATTACGTGCTATTATATGTCTATATTGATAATACTGTATTTGTTTATAGTTATAGTCTCTTTGATTTATTATGTAATTTTGACTGATGCTGCGCAACTATGAAAGTATGAAAGGGCTGAAAGTGAATTGTATATGAAACTGAATCTTATGATATTATGTGTTTCCTGGTATAAGTATTAGTAAATAGAATGTAATATCAGAATAACAGTTTACATTATTTTTTTCCCTCCATTTTTAATATAAATATATATTATGATGACATATTGAAAACAGTTGAATAATATATTACCTACATAAATGGTGATAGATATTGGATAATCATTCTAGACATGCAAAAACTGTATATTGATATCATATAGTATATGACGGATAATATAGTCCAATGTCGGTTCCAGTCTATGTAATTAGTTATGTTTTCTGGGTCAGTCAGATGCTTAGCCCGTAAGATCTATGCCATTAAACATCTAACTGATTGAGACTAGATTAGCCTATATGTACTTCCGGTTAAGTTCAGCGTCGTTTGATGACGAGTGAGGATCGAAAGACTGGATAAATTGGGTCGAATGGATGAGGTGTGGCATGCAGGTGAATGAATATTAGATGAAGGTGTATAGGTGATAGTGAGTCAGTCTTTCTTGACCACTTTTGATATTTTAAATGTTTATTTGTGTCCGTTATGTGTTTCTTTTGTGTGTCTTTTCTCTGTGTTCAGTTCTTTATTTCATCTCTTGTGTCAGACATCACGCCGGGCAAATACTGTTACTGCTGTGTAGTTTCCGTCAGTCAATTTTTACTGCCTGCTGTAACTCCATACATTGTTGTATGCATTGTAATTTCTTAAACAGTTGTGGAGGGAATTAAGATATTATCTGCCAATTGCCAGGGCCTTGGTGACAAGGTTAAGCGCAAGGATGTTTTTACTTATTTAAGAGATAGGCAATACAATATCTACTGTCTGCAAGATACTCACTTTACCGATGAACAGGAAGAAATATTACTGAGTGAATGGGGCTATAACTGCTATTTTAATTCTTTTAAATCTAATGCAAGGGGGGTAGCAATACTTATCAATAACAATTTTGAAGTCAAGGTGATAAAGGAAAAAAAAGACTTGACAGGGAATTTTTTGGCATTGGATCTAGAAATTGAAGGTAAGAAAATAACTTTAATTACATTGTATGGTCCAAACTCTGACAACCCAACTTTTTATGATAAAATAGAAGAAACTCTCTATGAGTTTAAAAATGATAGCTGTGTTATTTGTGGGGATTTTAATTTAGTTCTTAATCCTGATTTAGATTGTGATAAAAGCTACAAAAATGTTAATAATCCAAAGGCTCGTGAAAGGATATTAGAAATAATAAATAACTTTGATTTAGTGGATGTTTTTAGAGAACAGCATGCTGACATTTCCAGATATACATGGCGCAGGAGTAAACCTATCAAGCAGGCTAGGTTAGATTTCTTTTTGGTTTCTGGGAACTTATTACAAAGTGTATGTGAGACAAGTATAGATCCAGGTTACAGATCAGACCATTCTTTCCCCAAAATTATGTTAAAATTTAACGAATTTAAAAAAGGTAAAGGTCTATGGAAGTTAAATAGTTCCTTATTATATGACCTGGAATATCTTAATATAATTAATGATACTATTAAAACAGTTAAATTACAGTATTGCCTTCCTATATATAATCCTGAAAATATAGATGATATACCTGATTCAGATTTACAGTTTGTTATAAATGATCAGTTATTTTTAGAAACACTATTAATGGAAATTAGAGGTAAGTCAATTTCATATTCTTCCTATAAAAAGAAACAGTGTTGGGCAAGGGAAAAGACCTTAATAGATCAAATACAGGAACTGGAAAATGAGAATAATGTAGACTTAGACAAGTTACTTGAGAAAAAAAAGGAATTGGAAAAGATTAGAGTACATAGGATAAAAGGGAGTATAATACGTGCAAAAGCCTTATGGATTGATGAGGGTGAAAAACCTACCAATTATTTTTTTAATTTAGAAAATAGACATTTTACATCAAAAATCATTCCAAAGTTACAACAGGAAAATGGGGAATTTCTAACTAAACAAGTAGATATATTAAATGAGGTGAAATTTTTTTATGAACAATTGTATTCTATTGATAATGAAGTCGATGACATAGATTTGGATGAATTTTTAGAAGATTTTGATGTTCCAAGATTAAATGTTGAAGAAGCGGTCAGTTTGGAAGGTATTATTACACTTAAAGAAGCATCTATAACACTAAAGAATATGAAAAGTAATAAGAGCCCAGGCTCAGATGGATTCACATCAGAATTTTATAAATGTTTTTGGAATCAGTTAGGTAATTTTGTGGTTAGGGCATTAAATTATGGTTTTTCAAATGGTCAGCTATCTATTACACAACGTCAGGGAATAATTACTTGTATACCTAAGGCTAATAAATCAAAGTATTTTATAAAGAATTGGAGACCTATTTCTCTATTAAACATTGTATACAAAATTGCTTCTGGATCAATAACAAGTAGATTCAAATTAGTTTTACAAAAAATTATAAACTCTGATCAATCAGGATTTATATCGGGACGCTATGTAGGAGAAAATACTCGCCTGGTTTATGACATTATGCAATAT